CAAATCAAGTGGCAATGAGTGCCAGGGGATTCTGGGAGTTGAAGTCCACCAGTCTTAAAGGGGCTTCTGGGCTCCTTCAAAGACCTCACAGCTGGCTTTGGTGGCCCAGTTGGCAAGGACTGGCTTGAGCCTCTCTGGGCACCTTGAGGCGGGCTCTGCCTTCCGGGCCTCACTCTGACCTCCCCTCCTCCTCCTCCCCCCCCCCAGATGTGGCCGACGTCTGTGCCTTCCTCGCTTCGGACGAGAGCCGATATATCACGGGAGCCAGCCTGGAAGTGACAGGTAGGGCTGGCTTGGGGGGGGGGATATGGGGAGGTGATCCAGCACATTGATCTTCCTTCCCCTGACAACCTCCTCTTCCTCCACCAGGGGGCCTTTTCATCTGAGCCTCTGCTGCCCCCTGCTGGGGGAGAGACCTTCGCGAACATACACTTCCAGGAAGGACTCTCGGCCCTCTTTTCGGTAGACACTGCACTCCATGGACAGACCTGGTGCTCCGCTGATGCCTGTCGCTGCCCCGGGGGGCGTGAAGGATGGGCCCTGGACTTTTACGGAAGGGAGGGGGGGCTCTTCCTGACAAGGCTCACCTGCCTACCCCCCACCCCTCCCTGCCGAGGGGTGCAATTGCTGTTTCAGGCTGCTGGTGGCGAGGAGTTTTATATTCACCTGTGGATTGATCGAGCAATCAGTGGAATTTAAATAAAGGTGTTTTTTTTCCACTCTGAATAATCAAGACTTCAGCTGAAAAAAAAAAAAGAGGGATTCCCGCAGTGACCCCCCATTGAAATCATCAAGCAAAACTTCCAAAGGATTTATGGGGAGTTAACATGCTTAGCACTGCCTGGGTGGGAGGGCGGAACTGACGTCGAGACGGTACGGCATGCAATCTCGAAGGTCTGAGATTGCAGCCAATATCTTTGCCTCTGGACGGTCCCAACGGACCCAAACTGTCCCGAAGAGACGGTGATAGGGTGCAGCCAAGTCTGAGGCACCATCGTTCATTGTCACCCTTGACCCTGGCTTTCCCTTCACCCTCTGGGTGTATCGCAATTCCTATTCTCCAATGGGATAGCTCCATAGCCCAGAGTCATCCATCAGGGCTCTCCCGTTCGAATTTTGCACGGCACAAACTTCCGTCTCCTAGTTACTATCTTTGGAAAAACTATTCACTTTCGGTTTCCATGCTGCCGCATTGCTCCCCTCTCCCTTTCTGTTACGGCAACTCTTAAAAAGACCCGAGAAATATTTTATGAGTTGACCACCGGGTTGGTGTCCGACGGAAGGCTTCGGAGAGGACGCCATCTCCTTGGCCAGTCCGGGGGAGCCACGAATGAGTTACT